GCCCTGACCCTGGGTCGTGGGGGCTGCAGGAGCCCGCAGCCGGGCTGGGAACCCACAGCAGCGAGGACAAGGCTCCGTCTGGTGAGTGACCATCACCGGGGAGTGGGGGACAGGTGCACCAACAGAGACAGGGCGGCAGTGGGGCCTGGGGGACAGCAGACAGGCCATCCAGAAGGTTCTTCTCCACCTTCTTCTGGTCGGCCTGCTTCCCAAGTGAGGGGGGAGTCTCTTTGACCAGCGTGTTTGTCCTGCAAAGATCTGTGGTTGTAAGAGGTCCTCCCAGGGGGGTGGGGTCCATGACGGACGACAAAGCAAGACAGGAGGATGGAGTCCCTTGTAGCCAGCGTTTGCGTGGGGGACAAGGGCCAGGGGATGAATGCGGAGGGCGAGGGGATGAGGCTCCCTGTGGCAGAGTCACCAGGAATGCTTTGCTTCTTAAACCAGAGATTTGGGGTGAAGAGAAAGGCCACGGCCCTCCCTGAAGCCGAATCCGAAAAGTGGGGCCAGGGAGTCTGACCTTCAAAGCAAACTCCCCTCCAGGCTGATGTCTGAGAGCCAGTCCCGAGCAGGGCTCCACCCGGGTCTTCCGAGGTCATCTGAGGAGGAGGACCCTCCGCCCAGGCAGCCCTCCAGGTGGGAGCCTTCCCCGAGGGGAGGTGCCCCCGGGGGCTGCCGTGGCCTCACACAGCCGGCTGCTGCGGTGGGGCGAGGGCGGGGAGGAAGGCTGTGGTTTCTGCAGGGCACACCCAGGCCTGCTGCTTCTGCCCAGCCCCTGGTGCCAGCGCGGCCACCAGGTGGGTTTCAGGCACCCTGGGGCCTGGGAAAGGGGTCTGGAGCAGCCAGGAGGGGGTGGATTTGGAGTGGACAGCTGGGGCCAGAGAGGACGGAGCTGGCGAGTTAGGCTGGGGGTACGTCGGGGGAGGCCTTGAATGCTGCCCTCAGAGGCCTGACTCTCCACGGAGAGCTCCGCTGGCCCGGCCGCCTGCAGTTTGGGGGAAGGGCCTGACAACCAGTGGCAGCCGAGGAAGCGCTGCCCCTGCTCTCGGCCACCCCTGAGCTAGCTCAGCCCCACCGTGCGTGAGTCCCTCTGGGGGGGCTTCCTGGCAGAGGCAGGCTTTTTGCTGGACCTCGAAGCACCGGTGGAATGTCAACTGCAGACCCATCAGAGTGTCTGGTCTGGGCCATTTCCCACATGCCCCCCGGGCCCCTCACCCCTGCCCAGAGCTAAACACCTGCCAGCGCTCCGTGCTGTTACTGCGATGACAGGATGTCTGTGTCGGCCAGTCGTGGGCTCACACCCCAGCTCCCTAGCCTCTGTGTGGCTGTAGGCAAGTGACCTCACCACTCTGGCTTTTTGCCTGCTCCTACGTAAAAGGGTTGTCGGAGACCTTGCATGTGAAATCATGACCCGGTGCCCAGCGTGCAGTGGGCGCTTCGGAAACATTGTCAGCCGTGCTCATTCTCTCGTATTCTGTCCCTGTCCCGAAGGCTGGCTTCCCTGAGGAGCCCCCCTCCAGGCCACATGCGTGCATCCTTGGAGACTTTCTGTGGCACCCCAAGGAAGAGGGGTGAATGGTGGGTCTCAGCCTCTATCCAGCATGTGGGGTGGGGCTTTGGAAGAGTGCCAAACAGAGATGGCCACCACCTCCTTGGACTCTGCTTGAGGTTGGCTCTTCCTCAAGAGGGGTGGGGTTTCAGCATCCGCAGGAGGGTGGGAACACAGCAATGGGGTTCACTTTGGAAGATCCCTTGGGACCCCCCCATGGAGAAGCAGCTGGATTGAAGGGGAGAGACTGGGGACTGGGAAACTGTCTCAGGAGGGGGTGGTGGCCAGACCAGGTCAGGGCAAGGAGGGCACAGACTGAGGGGAGGACAGGGGACAGGACCTGGGGACTCTTTGGTGGCTCTAGAGAGGGTCTGTGTCGTTAGGGAGTCCAGGACAAGGTGCTGATTCCTACTTGAATGATGGGCTAGGGATGGGGGCTGATTGGTTGATTTCAGAAGAGGCTGTGTTTGAGATGCTGGTTACTTAACTGCCTTTGCATCTCAGTTTCCTCATCTGGACCATGGGGGTGAGGGAAGCGCCACTACCGTCATCCTGCCACGGCTGTGAAGGCTGAATGAGCTACTGCTGTAAAACCTTTGGACCGGTGCCTGGCGCACTCAGAGGCTCTGGTCAAATGTGAGCTTGCGTTGCTATTACTTCATCCCTGGGCTTCAGGCTGGCATGACCCCACCCCTGGTCCCCTAGTTGTCATACCTCCCAATGCCTATCTTCTTACCTGTTCCCACACCTGCCCACCTGGACTCCAGGCTCACACAGTCTTCCAGAATCCTGCCTCTCCCCACCAAGAGGCGGGTCAGGGTGGAGCCCCTTCTGCCTGGACCTGGGCTGCTTCCACCTGGATCTCTCTCTCTCCTTCTCTCTTTCTCTCTCTCTTTCTCCCTCTCTCTTGACATGCACCTTGGGAGCCCTGAGCCTCTAGGAGAGGATTCCTTGAGGATGACACACAGGGGAGACAATAACAAAAGACCACATAGACACCTATAAAGAGAAAACTGAGGCACCCCAGCTGTTGGAGACTTCCCAACCATGTGAGCAAAGATGCCTTGTAGATGGCCCAGACCCCACGCATGCCTGGCTAGGATCTCATGAGCAGTCCTATGCCAGAACCACCCAGTCAGGCCATTTGCAAATTCCTGTCCCATGGAAACCTTGAGAAGTAATGAAAGATGGCTGCTGTTTTAATCCACTAGGTCTTGGGGTGATTTGAGATACAGCAGTAGACAACCAAAACACCCTGCCCTGCACCCCAAAACGTAGTCCCTTAAAGCCACAGCCACACATTTAGCTCATGGTTTTTCTCCTTCCAGGTTTATTGAGATACAACTAACCTGCAGCACCGCATAAGTTTAAGGTGTGCAGCGTAACGATCCGTCCTGCATACAGCACGAAATGATTCTCACACTGTTTCGTGAACATTCATCATTTCATAACAGATACAAAGTTAAAGGAATAGAAAAAAATTTTGTGCGTGGTGAGAACTCTTAGAATTTACTCTTTTAACAAGAGTAAGGTGAGGAATGCAAACTTAGAGCACAACAGAGGAGGTGATTTTTTTAAACCTCCCTGAGCTGTTCTCTGGATTTCTACATATGCGCCTGGCTGTTTGTATATAACTGCCTGTTTTTGCATGTGTGCGTGTGAACGTATGTCCAGCTGTTTGCGTGTTTGTGTCTGCCATTGTCTCCACGCACTGGAGAGTGTGTTTGGTGGGTGTTGGTTGAATCGAGTGTGTGTCTTTCTGTGAGTGAAAGATTTGGGGCCACCTACTCATAATAAGATAGCGGAGGTGGTGAAGGGGGAGCAGACGGGATCCCTAGGGCTACTGGAGAGAGCATGAAGCGGCCAAGGACGGAGCCCTGGGGACACAGAGTTTACAGGTCACGCAGAGAAAGGAAGAGGAGCCAAGTCAGGAAAGGAGACTGAGAAGGAGCGGACAGAGGAAGAAGCAGTGTGGGAGAAATAGATTTCAAGAAGAGAGTGTCCAGTAAAGGTGAGACTGAAAAGTGCCCGTTAGATTTAGCCCCGGCGAGAGCTAGAAGACTTGAGGAGATGGAAATAAGACTTCAGAGACTGGTGGAGTCGAGTAGGTGTGTGCAGGTGAAGACAGAAGTGTGGGTAACTCTTTGAGAAGGGAGGGTGGAGGCTGAGAATTCCCTGAGGAGAGAAGGGACAGTCAGGAATCTTTCAGACACTAATGGAAATGCACGAAAGGAGGCTTCCACCACCAGGGGGCAGCACGTGTATGGACAGGCGCTGGTCGGCAGGCACACAGAGACACAGACGTAAAGACAGAAACACGCAGACACAAAGAAACCCAGGCAGACGCCAAAACCTCCTCACAGATACCAGAAGCAGATCTCCCCAAGCCCCAGATGGGTGTGTAGATCCAGCCCCCTAGAGACTGCGCGCGCGCGTGCGCACACACACACAAACACACACACACACACGAGGATCACAGAGATTTTTAAAACCCCTGAAATCATATCATTCAGCCATTTAGAAAAGGAAAGCTTGCCATTTGCCACAACATGGATGGACTTAGAAGGCATTATGCTAAGTGAAATAAGTCAGACAGAGAAAGTCAAATTCTATGTGAGCTCATTTATCTGTGGGATCTAAAAAAATAGCAACAACTAGACTCATAGAAAAAGAGACCAGGTTTGCGGTTACCAGAGGCAGAAAGGTGGGGCCGGGGGCACTGGATGCAGGTGGCCAGAAGGGGCAAACCTCCGGTTTATAAGATGAGTAAGTCCTGGGGGTGTAAAGTGCAACACGGTGCCTGGAGGTAACACCTGCTGTGCCGTGTGTTTGAAAGTTGCTAAGAGGGTAATTCCTAAGAGTTCCCACAGGAACAACAACAAAAAACCTTTTTTTTTCTTTTTTCGTATCTATACGAGATGACGGGTGCTAACCAAACTCGCCGGGCTGGTCATTTCACAGTACCTGTCAGTCAGGTCATCATGCGGCACACAGGGCTGAATGTCAGTGATGGCTCAATACACTGGGGAAGAAACACTTAAATGCTTATTTATAGCCCCCCTCCATAGACAAGTTGGCACTCAAGACTTGAAAACACACGCTTGTGCTGGCACACAAATGCACGCCCAAGCACAGAGACAATGACTCACACACGCACACAAGCACTCAGACACTCGCGTGTACCCGGGCCCACCTAGGATTCAGTCTGTGCTTGTTTTCTGAGGACCCCCCCCACCACTGTGCCCTTCGGCTCCTCCTGGGAATGTCTCGTCCAGCCAGGGTGAGAGCCCCAGAGGGCCGGGGAGGTGGGGGTAGTGCTAAGAGCTTGGCCTCCCCCAAAGCTGGAGTCCCCGGGGCCCCTCTGCCCCGGCCCCAAGCTCCCGTCAGCTGATGCAGCTGGCAGGCCCTGCCAGCAATCTCCGCCCCTCTTGCTGGCAGCCTGGCCTGGCAGGGATTCCCAGCCGATTGCCTTCTTCATCCTGCTGTTCGCTCACTCACACTCTCACACACTCGGCCCCCATGGCTAGCTCGGCACTCAACCACTCCTGGCCAGCCCTCTCCAAGCTCTGGCTGAAGCGATGGGCCTTCAAGAGAGGTAAGGGGGCAGGCAGTGAGCCGCAGGCACCAGCCACCCGGGCAGGGCTCCCTGGACAGCCTGCCCACTGTCCCATCTCGCGCCTTCCCTAAACCCCGGGCACAGACTCTGCCTGGGCCAGCCCCAAATCCCATGATCTCTGGCTCCTCAGGGCCCCCACAGAACATCACGGACTTGTGGGGTTCCTCTTATCGCAAGGAGACATATCTCCAGGCTCAGCCAGGAACTGGTCTCAGGAGGTAAATTTGCCGCCCTGGGGCAGCCTGGTGGCCTCCTGCGGGGCTCCCGCTGCTGTTCGCTCCCGGATGGCTGCCGGACAGAGGCACAGGGAGGCAGCAAGAGGAAGGGGTTCTAGCAGACAACTCTCTTGAACACACACACGTTGGCTAGTAGCCCTCCTGCGTCCCGGGGCCTCAGTTTACCTCTGTGGGGGCTGGAGAGGCCCTTTTATTATATCCCCCAAGGCCTGGGTGAATTGCTTTCAGAAAAAGATACTTCTTAAATCTCAGCAGGAGTCTTTGAAGACAACAAGATGGTGCCCAAGGCTACAGGGCGTGAGGGATAGTGTGGTAAGAGCCCCCAGTACTCCCTGCAGAAGCTGAGTATGTGTCCATGAGTGAGTTTCCATGCAGGAGGGGAGCCGATGAGAAGATTCATTTGCTTGTTCATTACACACACTCTGGCTGAGAACCTATTGTGTGCCAGGCACTGTGCTAGAGGAGACAGGAATACAGGGGAGCTGGAGGCTGGGGCTGGGGAGACAGAGGGCGACCTGGGGGTTGGGATGCAATGGAAGGGAGGTCGTAATGGTGAAAGTTGCTGCCAGTTGTTGAGCCCTTGGGAAGCTGGGCTCAGAGAGGATGCGTGATGAGCTCAAGGTCACACAGCAAGCACACACTGAAGGAGGCGGGATTTGAAACCGGCTCTGTTCCAAGGTCACCTTTGTGGTGTGTTCTAACCAGTGAACAAAGCTGCCAGGGTGGGCAGCTGGAGGGCTTAGGGAGGCTTTTTGCCCCACCGGTGGATGGCAATGCGAGAGAATTAGTGCATCGACCTTGGACCACCAAGGTGTCCACCTGGGTCCCAGGTCCTTAGGAAGGTCTGCGCACTCCTGCCTGCCCAGCCCACCCTGCCTCCCTGCCCGGGCAGGTTGAGGCTTTGATTTACAGACTGGCAGGTAGGGAGAGTGAGTTGTGGGAACCAGTGGTGACTCTTAAACCCTTTTATGGCTGGTGCTGTGGGGGCTGCTAGTGGAAGAGGCTGCCTGGAACCTGAATGCAGGCTGATAGGCGGCTCCTTAGAGAGAAGCGTAGAGGTGGGGAGCAGAGAGTGACTTCGTAACAGCGTCCTTACAGTCTTGAGCATTGGAGGAAGAAGGGCCTTTTTGTGCCCCTTTTAAGCATCTCTCCTGGGCACCTGATGGGACCTCCTGGGGAAAAGAATGGAGTGGATCTGGGGAGGCAGACAAGGCTGGGGAAGAGGGACTGGGACCTGCAGTGAAGTCCCTGGTCAGGGCCCCACTGCCTCTTCCCCTCAGTTATTCCAACTACCATTCTGGCTATACTTTTTCCACTCATTCCCTAGGATGTAACAAGTGTGTATATACTGAGTGCCTTCTGTGTCTCAACTTGGTTTCCTTCTTGTATGGCTTCTCTGCCACAATTCTGCCTCCTTTCATCTACATTTCTCCCCTCATTTCCTCAGAATGCCATCTCCCAAATGTAATGGCTCACTGCCACTGGGTCACTGCCACTCCATTTATCCCAACTATCCATCCATTCATCCATCCATGCATCTACACATCCATCCATCCATTCATTCATCCACTCATTCATCCATTCAACCAGTCAGCCAGCCAACTATCCATCCATGTATCCATGTATCTATGCATGCATCCATCCATCCATCCACCCATCCACCCATCTAACCATCCAA